TAATACACATCGTTATCAATCGGGTTACAAGGCCATGTGTGTGAGGGAGGGAAAACTTAATGCACTAGAGTTGAGTTGAGTTGAGTGCATTTATGTTGGCCGGTAATATATAGAGGACTTCCACTTTCTCAAAATTACGTAACTGGCAATGTATGGTTTCTCGCTCTCTGGGTTTTGGCAGACATCACAGCACCAATGACCCGTGGCTTGTGTAGCCTTGGATTTTATAATATGGGTTCTGACACGTTTTCCTTTAATCAGGATTTTCTTTTGTAATTATCTTTTTTTTTTTTTTAACATATGATGACAATAAATTATATATATAAAGATAATTTTTTTGTTTTTTTTTTATTTTTTTTATTAAACTTAAAATTAAAATTTAAAATCTCAAAATCTTAATCATTAAGTATTTCTTTGATGGTTGTTTCTTTTTTAATTACTAATTATTGTAATTATTAATTATTCTTTACTTTAGACTTTTAATTATTGATTATTTGACTTTTAATACTCTTAATGATAATTGCTAATTGATTATATTTTTTGATTTCTAATTTATTTGGGGAAGAGGCTATGAGTGGTGCGGCTGCCGTGTGGAAAAGGGAGGGTGTAGGGGGCAGGTGAAAAGGCTAAAGGCTGCTTCTTGACGGGCTAAGCCAGGTAGGGATGTTGCACGGGAGCGGCTATGTGGGGGAGGAAGCTTGGTCTCGTACGGGAATACCACCAGTTCAGGCCGGGGTAGCACGCTGAGGAAAGAGGGTTTGGTAGAGGCGCTAGGGGTGGAAGACATGGGCATTTGCGGCATGGGATAAGGAGGTTGGCAAAGGAAGGGTGACTGATACAGGGATAAGTCACCCCCTAAGAGGCAGAGAGCAACGGTATAGGCTTTTGTTGTATGTGAGCAAAGCCAAAGATATAGAAAATAGAAGAAATTGAAATTATGGGCAAGGCCAAGGAATTTCGGGGAAGCTATTTAAAGGATAATAGATTTTTAATATATAATGCAGGTGGCTTCATAGAACTGGTACAATGTTCAACACGAGAATTTCAAGGTTGCACTCAATAAAAGTAGTAAACAAAAACCCAAAAATCGACAAGAAGAGGAATATGGATTGTAACTGTTTGTTGTATTGCTTAGTGTTTAGCAAGGTGTCACCCAAAGCTTTGTGAGAAGGCCCCATATATTGGGCCTTCTACGAGAGGCGTAAGCATTATAGTTTTAACGGCTATTAAACACTATACACATTTTTTAACATGAGGATACGATTCGAACCCTATACTTATCATCACATGAGATGCTTTTTTGCAATATATATAATGGCCACTTGGATCATTAAGATTTTATGTTAAACATGATATTTGAATACTTGGGAGATACAAATATGTATAGACATTTAAAATCGTACTATAACAATCAAATAATATTGATACTGTAGAAAAATAATATCAACGTTTTTTTTTTTTTTTTTTTGAATAGGGTAATTTGAAAAAGGAATAATGGGATGTGTAGTAGTTGAACACAACTCATAGGAGTTGATTTGCACTTAATTTGACCACTAAAGCGGGAGATAGGGATCATTTCAGAAAGTTCATACTTAGATAAATGCTTTATTGAAATTTTAATTTTAAAAAATTTTAAAAGAGATAGTTAGAAATCATTTAAAAGTTGACTGTTACAAGATTAACATATTTGTAATGTTTTAACTAATTTATATTGATTTTAAACATTCACAATATAATTTATTGATTTTAACATCTAACTCAATTTGAAAACTCTTAATTATGTCTCCTTAAAACTCATTAATTAAAAGAATTAATCTCATAATTAATATTAGGATTTGTCTAACTTGTGTTCTTAGAGGTATATTAATTATACTTTTTCATAATAAATTTGTATTAAAAAAATAAAATTCAAATAATTTATCAACTGTTCAATTAAATTTACTTGACACTAAAATTACTATCAACTTTTATATTTTTCTATGTACAACTATAATAAAAAAGTATAATAAATATACTCTTATCTTGTGCCCTACAACATAGAAAAATTCTTAATATTATGAGAAAATATACATGACAAATAACATCACACCAAAACCCATTGCTTGTTTAAACACCATTCTAGTTAAGGTTTATGGATACTCAAAACTCAAATTATTAATAATGATTAGTCTCTATACTTATATATCATATTTTACAATCAAAGTGATTTGAGCGCTACAATCTTTCACACTCAAACACTTGACATCTTCATTAAATCTAGCATTGCAATTTCCCCTCAAACGTTTTACGAGTTGAAATTTATTAAAAATTGAAATCCATTAAAAAGACAAGCTATCACCAAAAGATAACCTCAAGCATGGTGATACAGCACTCGATAGGTGTAACAACTAGGACTATCC